CATTCAACCAGATGCTGTAGATTAATGGGTGTTCAATCTTGCCCCTGGAGGGCCAGCATCCTGCAGTTTGGCTCCAACTTGCCCCAACACTAGTTGAGTAAATTGTAGTAAGCCTGAAGACCTTGAATAGCTGGTTCTGGTGTGTTTATATGGGATTGTAGCTAAACTCTGCTGGTTAATAACCCTCCAGAAGCAGGACTGGTCATCCCTGTTGTATTACATATGAAATTGCCAAAATCACAGATAATGTCAAGCGTTTACACGTTGACATGAAACAGTGCGTGTAGAGTACAATGGCCTGCTACTGCAAAGTATGCAGAAAATGTGCTGATTACATTGCCACATCGCAGACCATGAGGCCATATTTGTTGTGGAACTGTGAAGTTTCTCGAGAAATGGTCACACTGCTAAACTTTTTTTTTTCACTGAGTTGAAAGGTCTTTTACTAATTTGTTATATAAATGTAGGCATAATAGACTAAATCTGAAGATTATCACATGACAATGCAGACCACTATGACATACTTTCCATGTCTAGATCAGCAAACACAGAATTGATCATAGTGATGTTTGGAAGTTTATTTTAGTGATGGTCTGCTGGGTACTAAGGGAAAGTTTTAATTAATTCAAAGTATCATGCCAAATATGTGCTTGCAATTACTGCTACTTTTTAATACACTCAGATAAAGTAAACATTTATTAACTATTGAAACTGATCAAATCAAGAGATTGAGGACATGTTTTTATTAAAGTATGTTTCATGTGCAAACTTTATAAAGCAATCTATTACATAACATCCTCAGGAAGTAATAGATTTGCCTAAATAAATTCAGCAGCAGCAGATTCAGCAAGAATAATTTGATGTTAGTCAGTAAAATGGACTATAGTCAAGTATACACACACACACCATATGATGCTACAAAGTAAACTGTTCAAGAGGTGTGGTGTGTACATTATTTAAGCAGGTGTGTTGGACAGGTTTTTGCATTTTTGTTGGTGTAATGTTCAACAGCTCAAAGCATTAGGTCAATTCGCTTTAACAAAGTTAATCATTCTAACCCATATACAAACTTAAAGCAACATAACGCTATTAGCCTACTCCCGATAGTTACCTAAAAAATCTGGTTCTAATTTATTATGTATTGACAGTCGTAACAAAATCTGTAAGTTAAATATTTGTCAGAAACTATGTTACTATGTAATGCATTTGACAAGAGAGTTCAGACTCTTACCTTTTTCCAGATAAATTAGGCTACTGGACGTGTTTTCTTCTAGAAGACACGACTGACAACAGCAGTGCACGTTCAGATCCACCTGTAAGTAAGTGGCAGTTGTGATGTCCGTGGAGTTTTCTGCTTGGACCGGTTTGTCTCTGTAGTAGGGTGAGGTGGTGACTAGTTTTGAAACAGTTACCGGAGTTTCGAAGTTCGCATGCAATGTAGCGTTAAATGCTTTGTGTTTACTAGATTATTTTCTAGATACTTTAATGTCAGTGAACACCCATACATTGTTATATAGTATGGATGGTTGTGATTTTGACTTAAAATACAGTATCTGAAGTAATTCTATCCTTCCAGTGTTTCTTGGGAATAAACCTGAAACTGTGTATGGTGCAGACAATGTCCATTCATTTGTTTGGGCTGCGCTGCATGCAAACGCAGTGCCACCTGCTGGCCGCTTCTCATATTGCATGTCTGTGGATCAATCTTGAGTTAACAGTGATTTGGATTTTTTTTTTGGATAGCCCTTTAATATTCATTATTTTCATTTTCATTAAAAACAAGCGGTGACTCGATTTTGTTAGAATAATATTTGTATTTAATAATATAATATTTGAAGTTTTTGTCTGTAAACTGTGGTGTTTCATGCAAGAAGAAAACAAATGTATTGCCATGGTTGTACTGTGTATGTATGTATATGTATTACATTATTTGATATTTTTATGTTACTTTAAACTGCATAAACCTTAAAACTTGCTGACATAAAAAAAAAAGTATTCACATTATTTATTTTTGTTTGTTTGTTTAATTTCTTTCCTTAACTTGGGCATTTTTATTTTTTCACTGACCCACACATAAACGTACAGAAGGTTGTTTTAGTCTATTCCAATACACTTAAAGAGCTATTCCATGACTTTAACGGTGTATAAAAATGAATATCAAATAACTGTTCTTGCATGTCCATATTCTGGTCTATAAACGCCTAAGCTAGATCATGGCCAAAATATATCAGTATATAGGCCTATGTCACTTACATCTATATTCTGAAGTTCCATGTGCACTGACTGTGTGTTTCTCAGAGATGCAGTATGAAGGCACATAGAGTGAGTACTTGAGGGTACAATAAGGTTTTTAATAAAGCGGACAGATTCTAATGTTTGGGACTTCACATGTGGACAAAGTCTACTCAAATTCAGAGAACTGTTCACTTCAGCTTGCACAGAATAAGCGTGAGAGCCTATGTTACACAATAAAAGCCAATATCTTTACTTTAGTGAATGCAGAATACAAATTTGTACAACAATCTCTAGCATAATATCTTAGTCATTCAATAAAATGTTCACTAGAATATTTATTGTATAATGAAGATAAAACAACACATTCAAGGGAAATGCAGATTAACTTAAAGTTCTCTCTCATGTTTTACTCCTTTTTTTTTTTCCTTTTCGAAACATCTTGTTTCAGTTATGGCAACAAAGTCCAGCTTGTGCCGCCAAACGGTTTGAGCATCCAAACCGCAAACAGCTTCTTGGAGTGAACTAGTAACTACAAACAATTACCAAATACATAATTCTGATTTAGAAAAAGCCATAAAGCAAAGCAGTGTACTCTTGCACAGCAAAGTAAAGAAAGTACGCAACAAACAATTGTTGTTTCCTCTTTATCCCTTCCTTTCACATTCAACAGTTTGTGACACAGCACTCTGCACCAAAGGAACAGCCTCCTCTCTTCAGATCTCCTATGTATTTCTCCCGTGCATTTATAGGAACCCCTGACGTGAGGGTGATTTTGTTTTGATGAAGTCAGAATGTAATGAGTGATATCATATTTGATTCCGAACACCAGCAACTCTTTGGAATAAGGCTCTAATTGTGCATGTAGCTGAGAAACTCCCTGATTCCTAATCAAGCACTAATGTTGAGTGTTTGCGTGTGCATTCATTGCAGTTTGAAAATCCCGCAGTGCTTTCATAACACTGGGCTGGCATTATTGCTCGTCTAACCTGAAAAGCTTTGATTGTGATCAACTTTAAATGATTTCGACAGACATCATAAAACTTTCCAATGGGCGTTTCAATTCAGCTGAGTCAACAAAGCTTGTACACATCTGAAGTTAAATCTAAAGCTATACCTAAAGCAGTGTTTGCATGGCTCTTGTGGATTTCATATTTAGTCAGTGCACCTTTGTACGTAACCATAGAAGGATAGTTCACCTAAAAAAAAGAAGAGAGAATTCAGTCATCTTGTTCAAAACCAGTTGTGATGAATGTTTCATTCAGTTAATATCAATGCTATAATTGTAAAAATATCTTTTGTGTTCCAAAAATTAAATAGTCATACAAGTTTGGAACTACTGAGTAAATAATGACAGAATTGTCATTTTTGGGTGAACTATCTCTTAAATACCCAAGCACTTAAGGACACAGGGTTAACAGTCGTTTTCTCACCTGCGCTATAAAGAGCACTTTATTCATGAACTAGGCAACATTGTGCAATAAATGAACATGTGGTAGTATAATATGCATGATTGAATTTTTTTCCTCTCAATTTATTATTATTATTAAAGGGATAGTTCACCCCAAAATGAAAAATCTGTCATCATTTACTCGCCCTCAAGTTATTCCAAACCCGTATGAAATTCTTTTTTCTGTTAAACTTCAAATATTTTGAAGAATGTGGGTAACCAAACTGTTGATGGTCCCCATTGACTTCCATAGTATGGAAAATAAACAGTACGGTGACCATCAACTGTTTGGTCACAAACATTCTTCAAAAAAAGTATCTTGTGTTCAGCAGAAGAAGGAAATGCATACAGGTTTGGAACAACTGACAGAATAAATGACAGAACTCTCGTATTTGGGTAAACAATCCCTTTAAAAATTCCACTTTTAATGTGAATGCTTTGTGTTCCTGGCTATGTGTGGGTTGGGGACTGCATAGATTAATATCAGCTTATTGCCAGTTGCTCAAGAGGGCAGGGAGGTATGCGCACACTGACCGAATACATAACAAATCTAAAGAGGAAAGCGTCCGATGGCAAACTTGAACATACAAACTTTTTTGTGCAATCCATTAGAGAGATCATGTCCAAGTCAGTTTGCATTGTCTAGTACTTCCATCTTTAGCTGCTGAATCCCCTGACACTTTGCCACCCGAGGGGCAGTGAGGTGTGATGCAAGCCGGAGGCCACTGCTACCAGACGTTTGTGCCGCACAAACAAACAGCCACATGTGAAGAGATATGCACACAGAGAGCAAAACACGATGGCGGAGAGAGCTACAGCGCCCCCTCTTGTCCAGCAATACAGAACATGGCGACTGATGCCCCCTTAAGGTGTCTCCTTTACATTAGGAAATCTGTAGATGAGCCAATTCACAAAATAACTGGAAAGGCGTTCTGTACATAGTATGCATGTGTGTATTAGGGTTACCTAAAGTTATGGTATTTACAATATATGAGGGATTTGGCTGAAATGAATTTAGTAACATGAGCTTAAGTTTTTATACAAACTTGGGGGAATGTCTGTAAAGAGAAACGTGTCTTGTACTGGATCTCAATGAATAGTGCATCTAAGCCGTGATGGGTTAAAGTAGGCAGTGTATTCAGCAGCTGCAGGCTAATCCCTCACAAAACAGTTGTAAGAAATGCATCCATATTTTTTTGTTCTTAGCATGACGAGTATAGCTTTACAAAACAAAATAAAGACAGCTGAGCTTGAATCATCCAGCTCTGTTGTTACAATTTCTTATGGACAGACATTCACCACCATTAAAGGGTAAACGACCCAAAAACGATCTTCTTGGGGAAAAAAAACACTTTGAATATTACCAATAATAGTCAGACTTGAAGAAAGTACAGTATAGTTAACAAAATAGTAAATATTAACCAGTGAATACTCTACTTAATAAGGATCTCGCCTTGTAAACTTGGCAGTAATCCACAAAAATATACTTTTTTCTTGAATCCGGTGAAGGTACAATACATACGTACTTACACCAAAAGTGATATATATTAAAGTTGCTATGTACATAACAAAAGAAAAAAAGGTTTGGCTCAAATCTTTAATTTACAAACAGAACAGCAAGTGTTCATGGCTTTAGATATCGTTTCAAGATCTGCTTTGCATGTTAATCGTTTTCCAATGTTTGTAACAACGCACACTATGACAGAACTAATATGAAACAAACATCGAGAGAGAAATGCTGAAAATTCCCAACCTACAGTACGAGAAAATTACATAGAGGCTTTGGCTTGCGTTACCATTGAGTTGTTGGAGCTGCATGAATGTACAATGGCTTGCTATCGTCTTTAAATCAACTGGGCTACCTGTTCTTTTCCCATTTGTTAAAAATGCTGTTAAAAGGGATTGAAAATTCATATTGATATTAATTTAGAGACATTTTCATTTCTTTCACTTAATGTCTTAACTGAGGTGAAATGTGATCTCATTTTAGATACAAGCCTTCCCCCGTAAAACTGATCCAAATCTATCATCAAATACCTTTAATTAAATTAATAAGTGACAAACTTCATATAAGGGCGAGTGCAGATACAGGTTGTTTAATACATGAGCCCAGCAGGCAGAAGCCTTCTGACAGAAAGCCGCCCCTAAACTTTCTTTGATTGTTTGCAAAATCAACAGCGAAAACAGCTACGAGTGTCAAACTGCACCAGTGACGACAATAATCGAAAATGTTTTCTTCATACATTGGACTCTCGCGCAATGCAATTTGCATCAAGTACCTGATAACACCTGTTTGTTTGAGTACACCATTCATTCTGACTGCTTGACTTGAGATTCTCTTTCTCTCTCTCCACTCATCTGCTTAATTTCGATATGTCAGGACATTTTCGATTTCTTTCCCCATCCCAAAAAAAGTGAAATGACGTTAAATTATAACAATAGAATAATAACAATAATGACCCTCCCTGCTGTCACTCCTCTCTCCCTTTCCCCCTGCCCAGCCCTGCATGTGACTGACTGGCTGTCAGGCCCGGGACAGCTTTATGTCACCCAGGTGTCCATGCGCATGCGCTTGACCGTGGGGCTCTCCCTCTCTCCGGCCCCGGTGGCTGGGGGTCGACCCAGGCCGAGTGGGGAGTGGAAATCGGGCCGGTGATCCTCTCGGTCGCTTCCGTCATAGGAGGAGCAGGAGGAGCTGAGGCTGTCGGCGGGCGAGCGGCCCATGTCGTGACGGCCAGAGAGAGGCTGCTGCTGCTGCTGCTGCTGCTGCTGGGGTGGGAAGCCGGACGGGGTGATGCGCTCGCGTGGAGGAGAGATGGGCTCGGATTTAATGTTGATATTATGGCTGGTGTTGATGGAGAGATTTGAGCCCTGAGGTAAGTGACCGCCACCTCTGAACAAAGAGAGGAAATTACAAAATGAAAAATGAGTGCATAAAACTATGTCTGTGGACTGCAGAAATTCCTAAACTCAGCAGCTACCATGTGATGCTAACACAGAGACCTAGATAGCCCAGTAATAATATCCCACCCTCCATCTGTTTACTCAATGGTGCTTACAGCAATAACAGCACCTGAATCATTTTAGAGGGTGGTATCTAATTAGAGCATGCCTGGCAGAATGTGACGAAAACAGTTCACTAATGTTTTGATGGCACAACCACTGCGTTTAAATAAAAGCTTTCATTCACAGGCTCTGGAAACATTACATTTTGTTTTTTTTAGTCTGTGAGTCACGCACTCTGCTATTACAGAGAAACTACACAGACAGATAGTTATATAAATGCATATCCTTCTATACCACTTTCTATCTATCTATCTATCTATCTATCTATATAAAAAAGAAAGTTAAATAATATGCATTAAGAAAAACAAACTTTTTAGGACAGATATGATTCATTAAATTCATTACATTTTATGTTCTTCTCAATACATTTTTTTGTATTTAAATCTGTATAAATATTATCATGACATAAATATTCATTATATTTTTTAATCATTAAAAATCTAAATCTAAATGACAAATGCTAAAATAAGTTTCATAAAAAGGTGAAATGTCTAATTTGTGGGCTTCCATGCTGCAAAAAATGTTTTTCTCACTGAATATCTTTAAAACAAGATACATTTACTTGAGAAGCACAGTGACTTAAACTATTAATAAGTGGCAAAACAGACAGTCCCACCCTAACCTCATTTCACTGGTTTGTCTCTAATATTACGAGATCAAAAACACTTCAGTATTAATCAAAACATGATTTTACATGATTTTATTTTTAGAGTGTAATATGGCATGGAAATCAATCCATCCTTCCATTACACTTTCTAGAGGGAAAAAAAATCTAATGAAAACATATGGCAACTAAGAATGCATTTGACCTCATGCCTGGGCACATTAGTTAGTGTTCTGCAAACCTGCGTGTGTGTGCTTTGTATGGGACTGCACACATCTATGTTACTCACACCAGCGAGCTGAGAGCTGCCTGGCCCAGTTGATGCTGTTGCCATGCCGACATTGAGCCTATAGAGAGCCCTGGAGAGCCAAAGCCTTGCAGAGAGGAGAGCTCAGCACTGCTCAGGGAGTATTCTAGAGCAAAACAACACAACAACAGAGTTTATGAGTCACTCAAACACCTCTGCACTCACACAGTCAAGCGTTTCGAATATTTTTGTTATGCACTGAGCTCGGAGCTGGATCATGTCATTAATTGTAGGGTCTTACTCTTGTTTATTGAGCCACTCAGAGAAGAATTAAATTAAATCAAACCATGAATGAATGCATACATTACAAAGCAAAGAATGGCTTTTTATATTCACCAGAGTTGTAGGCAGTGGGCATGCCTGAGTAGACCAGGCCTTGTGGTGGCAGACTCGGGGTGGTGACAGAGACCACCGGTGTGGCCAGAGGCTGGGTCGACTGGGAACTGCTTATCCTCTGGGTGTTCTGTACAAAGGGCCAAATACACAAACTTAATGAGATACAAATCCCATCATAGACATACATGCACACACTAACCAACCAACCATGTGAAGCACTGTCATCAGAATAGTGTGATTTTGGTGGAAATTATATGGAAATACCATTTTGCACCAATAAGAGGCGCTGCAGATTCATTCTAGTTAGAAATCAAATTGTTTTGCAAGTTGCTGTCAGTTAAACAGCTTTAATTCAGAAGCCCCTGGACAATGTAAGAAAATATAATATAAAATATAAGACACTACAGAATGACTATAAATAAATGTGGCACAACTATCTACAAGATCGCTGCTAATTTTTGGTAAGGCATATGCATTACATGAATATAGGGAAATCCACAAACACATTCATACACAAGAAAAAACAACTCTCTTTCTGATTATCCCCAGAGTCTCAAAATGTTCTGATCAGTAACTTTATCCTGTCTGAACAGTTTCCATGGGAAAAATTGCTCAGAGCTTGCTTATTCAAAGTGGTGGGACTCATTGGACATGTCAGTTTAAAATCAAGTTTGTCGAAGATGTTTCTACAAAAATACCTTAAGAGAAATAAAAATAAACAATTATTGACACTGAGTAAGAGCTATACAATTATGAGGAACATGTGTTAGAATTTGCTGAGAAATATTAGAGTTCATATTTAAATCTGAGCACCGTTTGAGACAGAGTTGTGGTCTCTTCTGAAACTCTGGGGAGATGTGAGATAAATTTAGTCTTTTTCTCAGGAGAAAAATCAGAGGCAGTAGACTTAAAAACATCTTAAATGTATTTTCCAATGAAAATACAAATTCATTTTCTTAAATGAAAATGTATTTTCCAAGAAGCATCCAGCATGCTGTGAAATTACAGTCACCCCAAGCCAAACGTGTGTACATGCAGTGCACACACACACACACACACACACACACACACACTCAGAGAAAAAAATATATAACATGGAGATGTATATTCAATTCAGTGCAATTTTGCTCAGTTTTACATTAGCTGGGGTAGATGAATATTCAATCTACATTGAGTTTGAGAGGAACATTATGTACAGTCTCAAAAAATATTTCAATTATTTAAAATATTATTAGAGAGGTTTTACTTTATTTTAAGAAATAAATAATAGTGTAATGCAGATTCTACAGAACAGTTGTATTAGTACTAATTTAAGCCTGGATTTGTTTCAGTATTGTAAAATGCATTCACATTAGTTTCCTCTTGCTAGTGAAAATATTCTCTGACAGCATTTGGCATTCTCCTCAACTGATGACATCATTTTGGACTCGACTCCATTTTACCGACATCATCATAAGTAAAGCAATCACAGGCCAAAAAACAAGAAACACAAGAGAATAAGAATTTGGGTAATGCTCAGATATGTTGACTGCAATAACATGTTTTATGTGGATTGTGTTTCTTAACATTCTGCTTTGATTGATCCACGCTTTTATGTTGCTTCAATATTAAAACTAATACCAGGTTTATTGGTGAGATCTTAGGGGAACATTAAATAATTACTGATGATTGCATCTTTGGGGATTTTATGGATTCATCATTCTCCTTTCTTCGAATACGCCCACAACACTCTTCCTTTAGCCCAAACACATACACATACATTTCAGGACACACTGTGGGTCTTTTAAACTTCCTTAAAAAGGCTCAGAACATGCAGTGTGAATCACACACAATGCAGACCAGACATCCGCACAACACTCGTAAGTTCATCCAGTTCATGTTGGGTTTAGTCGATTTTCATCGCAAGCAGTGGAGTCATTTCTCTAAGCTAAGTGTGGCTCTGCTCGTTAAAGAAGTGTGATTTTAAAAAGCTTATCAGCCTTCCCAAGGCATTCGGTGAAACTCACCACCAGTTCCATCTCTTCCTCCTCCGACTGCTTCCAACAGAAAAAAGCAGATGATGTTGTCAGTATAGAGCCAGGTGGCACACCTAAAGCTCAGCAGGGTCAACCCACCATTCTCACCAGGACGTGCCTTTAAACTAACTTATTCAAATTCAGAGACTGAAGCGTGAAACGAACGCTGCCTCAGGTTACTTGCAATAAAACTGGAAATTCAAATTCAGAGTCAAATTCAAATGAAAAGTCAAATTTGTTGGCACTAAATACACAATGTTTTCATTCCTCATGGCCATGTGGTTTGTCCGACACAGCAATTAGGTAAATGTAAGATGACTTCCAGTGCAAAATGCTGAACAAAGGGAGAGTAATAGTGGAGTAAGAGGAAATAATAGTGGTTTTCTTTTAAGTCCTTAGAAGGAAAATAAAATCATTGAGGGGCTTGACCTCACAGCTAGGATGTTCTTAACCTTTCACCTCAGACACTCATCTATACATGAGCTTGTTTGTCCAATAGCTCCATCAATCATTTTGCATCCATTGGCAGAGCCCTCCACTTGCCTTAATTGATTATTTACAAGAGGAGAACAATAAACACTAGGCTAAATGAGAGGTAGAAAATGTAGCTGATCACTCATGAGAATATAAGAATAAATGAACATACAGTGGTGTGAAAAAGTGTTGGCCCCCTTCCTGATTTCTTATTTTTCTGCATGTTTGTCACACTTTAATGTTTCAGATCATCAAACAAATTTAAATATTAGTCAAAGATAACACAAGTAAACACAACATGCAGTTTTTAAATGAAGGTTTTTATTATTAAGGGAAAACTAAATCCAGAACTACATGGCCCTGTGTGAAGAAGTGTTCGCCCCCCTGTTAAAACTATGGTTTATCACACCTGTTGCATGTTGTGTTCACTTGTGTTATCTTTTAATAATATTTAAATTTGTTTGATGATCTGAAACATTAAAGTGTGACAAACATGCAAAAAAATAAGAAATCAGGAAGGGGGCCAACACTTTTTCACACCACTGTATATATGAATTTTAACTTATGCAAAAATATTTATTTGTAATTTAATAATACATTTTAAATAATATGCATCTAGATTTTTTATTTTTATTATTATATATTTTATTATTTTTAAAATATAGAAATTTTCATATACAGTACTGTGCAAAAGTCTTAGGCCACTAGTATTTTCTTGAAGCATCTTGGAGACGTTGCCACAGTTCTTCTGGATTTAGTCTGTCTCAGTTTGTTCTGTTTTTTCATGTCATTCCAGACAGACTGGATGATGATGAGATCAGATCTCTTTGTGCAAACAAAAATCTCACTGCATAATTGCAATTAATAGCAAAATGAATGTTTGGAAATGTAACCTGATATTTCCTACTGACACGTTACAGCAAACCATAGAAATAACTGACTTAAAACCATTTTTTGTTGGTGAAAATACAGACTTTTGCACAGTACTGTATATATTTGAACAAATACTACTATTTTTCCAGGCAATAGTAATGTCACTCTAAATTGCAAAACTAGATTTTTTTCCCCTGTTCTCTTTCTCTATGTATATTCTAGTGTTTTATTTATTTATTTATTTTCATTTCGCAAAATAAAACCCTTTGCAATTACGCATATTAAATTAAACAAAACATAAAACTTAACAATTACATTCAATAAAGTGTGAAAATAAATTAAATCCAGGAAGTAATAACCATTAAAAGTAGAATAGATTGGTGATAACAGACAATAGAGGAAGAACAAACAATAAACTGCCAACAAGATCATATCTCTTACTTTTTAAGTGCAATGTGCTAGTCAACACTGTAATCCACAGTTCGTCTCTATGTACTGTATATTCTCATTCAGTTCTATGCAATACTTTTGGCACAAATTAGAATTTTAAGGTGTTAATTTTCATCTCTTATAATGTGCATATATCTCTTTGTTCGAAGCCAGCTGACAGTGTGGAGTTGTACTGTATCGAGGATGTTGAGCTTTCTTCTCAGTAGTGCCGGGCCAGTGCTGTCTTAATACCAGCACTCAATCAATAACAGTGGGGAGACACTACAAGGGCGACAAGATATTATCTGGCTCACACTCTGGGCTTCTGATTAAGCCTTCATCCCCACTCTGTCACACTGTGATGTGATTAATTTAATACCATTATGTTCTAATGACAGCCTGTCTGCAGGCACACTCACAGGCCCTGCCTTAGTCTGTCTGAGGCAGTTCATTCTCACACACACACACGAAAGGACACTCGCCATATACGCAAATATACACAAATGAATAATCCTCTGGGCTTCTTACTACTGATGACTTCAGATGCCACGAGCTTGGCATGTGGGATTTGTTTTGATTCATGGCGGGTAAGAAACTGTACTGCTTCCAGATGCTGGCGTGCTATTCCATACACTCGCATACATATGTATATTTACGCTGAGCTAAGAGAGCCCTGCGTAACCTCAATGCTATTTACCAAACAAGATTCTGTACACGTGCAGTGCTGCGGAAGAAACCTGAGTGGCTTCTACAGTTGAAACGAACCAATTATTGACCATATTTAAATATAATAATAATAATCTTTTTTTTCTGCTTCCCATTTTATATTTGAGTGATTAATGAGGCTGACAGCCGGGAGTAGCCTCAGGTGCTGAATGTGGCCAGAGCTCTCTGCACCTTAATTATAATCATTTGAGAGGCCCTCTAATTTCTAAATGAATAATAGAAGGAGTGAGGGTACCTGGATTTCTGACTGCTCTGAGACTATTTTAGTGTAATTTCACTGATCTGATGTAAAGACCATAATTTTGCTCAACCCGTGTGTGTGTGCGTGTGCGATGATCAACATCTTTTTCAAGCATCTTTTTGAAGCAACAATCTCATGGATGCATGCATGAAGAATCAATTCTTCCATACTCACCAGGGGTGGCATCATGCCCTTGCTGGATGGGGGGATGACGACTCTCAAGTCTGGCTTGCGGCTACCCATGCCCATGTTGCCCCCCGGTGGCGGCGGTGACTTCGCAGGCATGACTTTACCAAGCCCGTTCCCGCTGGGTGTGCCCAGAAGCCCCGGCGAGCCCCTCGGGTTAACAAAGCCGTTTCCTGCTGAGACACACATACGGGCGGAAAGCATCATGGGATTGTGCTCTAATCGACCAATCCCCAACAGCCATCAGTCGATCGGACGACATGCCATTTCCCAGCTGCAGTCGTAGCATCTCATAGCACGCAACGTTAAGTGTTCCCGACCCTCTGGGAAAGTTCTAATAAGACTCTGGTAATTATCCCGCACATTTACGAAAATAAAACATAAATTTTGAAATTGATGAGCCTTTGGTTCTGTTGGTGTACAATGGCGTCAAAGTTGTCTTTGTGTGTCCCAGGATGAGGAAAGCAATTCAGTTTAACAAATGTAGTGTGACTTGAGCTCTTTAAGAAGGAATGGCTAAAGTCATTACAACTGAGTGCAGCCATTCACTGCTATCAAAGGCAATTAAAGTACCATTTTAGAGAAGAAATCTAAAAACTTTGGTGGGGTGTCAATGGTATGTTTACATCTGCTGTACTTTGCCATTCCTACTTCGAACTACAGCTACTTTTATTGGGAACTTTCTCCTGCTATCTAATCTAGTGCAAACGGGGTACGTTTAAATGTTAGCACATGCCGTAATGACCCAAAAAAGCACAATGAGAGGAACCCAACATCGGTCTGCAGAACATCAACAACAAATACTGAAAAGTTTGTGCGCGAATGATGTCATCACACGAGAACGAACAGGCTAATCCATCAAGTTCGCACCTGACTGACCTCGCACCAGTATACTATATATATATTGCGGGTTTCTGGTTTCATGTGAACGTCAGAGCTTTACAAAGATGTCTTTCTACCATCTGCTGGCCCACATTGTTAGCAAGTTCCTTCACACAACCATCTGAAATATTCTCTAACAATCATGGGTCATTTACCCACACAATGTGTAACCTCCAAAGACAAACACAGGAATTACAATTGGCTGACGTTCAAACCCAAAAGCACAATCACCCCTAAGGTCTCTGTTTCTCTGTTTTCTCTCGTAAGTATGAAAAATGCTGAGCAACTTAACAACAGTCATCAGGCAAACAAGTGCGATGCCTTTTGTTTTTCAGAAAAGGTCCATTTCATTTCCATTTGCTTGGAACTGTGCATACAGCAAAGTGCAATATCATTTCCGTGTGTTTTTCTCAATAACAGCAGCTTGATTAAATGTTAGTCATGGGTCTTTTTCTGCCCCCCACCCAATGCTCATTTCCTGTGGGGGCTTGCGGTGGGACAGCGAGAGAGAAGGCCATCATCAGAGAGACAGAGAGCAGAGACATGCACTTACTGTGTCTCCGTTAAAACACGCCTCTGCTGAGAGCGACACGTACACATAATTCTCACAGCTCAATTTTCTATATATGCTTTTTATTTTTGGGCTATATCTAGAGAGAGAAATACTCAAAAACAGACAGGAAACAATCAAGAGAAGTGGGTTCAGGAAATGACCCAAGCGAGACCCGGACCTATAACATGTCCGTGCAAGTTCACTACTCACCAGGTCACCGAGGCAACTTACCTCAATACCAGATTGCAAGTGAATCTCAGTTGAAGCTAAATCTTCATGCAGTTGGGTGTGTTCTCTAGCGTCTAAAACTCAATGAATATCACCCATCTAACTTGGATCAACAAACAAAAGCTGTAATTAAAAACTTGAGGACTACATCAGATGTTTCATCAGTTTCAGCTGAGAATAATAAATACCTTTCACAAAACTTAGCAAGTAGAATATTAACATTATCCTATTCATTTTGCAGATGCTTTTATTTAAAGTGACACAGAAAATGAGGAATAATTCAACATAAGTAGAAGTAGAAATATATAATGCATGCATAAGGCAGAATAGAAACATATATGTTCAATGCACTTACAGATATATTTACCGTGATAAATAATTGAACTGCATAATTCGATTTTCATTATGTAATATACAAATAAAAAAAATCAAATAATTGTAACTTATAAATTCTATTATATTTACATTTGTAATATATAACACATTTACAACTATATTATCTATATTATATAATCTTAGAACTCATACATGCTGTATATAAAAAGAAACGCATATATATATATATGAATACTTTCCGTACCCACTGTATATACTTTGATGCCTATTTGATATCTAATACTTTGATGACTAAATGCAGAACAAGTAGGTGTCTTAATTTTTGGCTGGTACTGTAAATGTTTATTCAGTTGACAGGAAATATAAGATGAATATGAGCACTGAAGTGTGTGAACCTGCAGTGAGAGGGAGGAAAATATCTTGTAATTACTGTAAAAAAGCACAGCGGCAGTGCATTACTCTGATAGTGATCAAAAAAGGGAGGATGATATCATTATGTTGAAATGCTCCCGGTTTCTGAAAAAGGCGCCTGTTCTCAAAAAGGCGGAATGTGTAACTGAGGCCCTACTGAGACATAAGCTGCTCTGATTCTGAGCTGTAACCAGTGTCCCCACCCCTTCGCTCTATGTAAGTCGCACATTGAATCCTCTCATACCGAAACAGAGTGAACCCAGTGTCACAATTCCTAAATGAACAACAAATACAGAAGAGTAAAGCCTTATTACGTCTGTCTTAAACAATGCTGCTTACCCTCAAAAAATAATTCTCTCGCTCAGCTCTGAGTAATGCATGATCCTATGAGAGCATAGTTACATAACGAGCCGCTTTTACAAAACAAATCATTTGTTTATTTTCAAAGCAAGGCTGTTTTGATATAAAGCACCAGATAAGTCCTAACCATTTATAAGTCATCATTACCTTGAGCAACGTAGTGTCTTCAAAGGGGCAAAGTATGCATGAATGAGAAAAGACTAATGGATTTCAGAATCAAAGCTTCGCCTCCCTAATAGATTAAGAGGAACGGAGTCCAAATTCTAATTATAGTCTTAATTAATGAGGCTGAACAGTACCTCTTTAACGGGTACAGCCATATTGTTTTGGCTCCGGAAATCATGCACAGGAACAATGTGAGCTGGGAAAAGAGTTCCAACTGTTGATGCCAAAAAAAAAAAATCCAATTCATATTTTACTTGGAGAGCCCTTTTGTACAAAAAAATTAATATAATTTGTAATACCTCCATGAGGAATCTAAAAAAAAAAAAGACAGAGCACTGGATCAGGATGACGTGGACCTCAAGACATAGTTAAGTAACTGGCATAAAACGGTCTTTTGAGAAACATTCTTTTGACACAAAAAAGGGCTTTAAATTGCTCCTCAACAGCTTATAATTCTTTAGTATTAATGAAGGACGCTGTGCAGCATCTAGGCACATTGCATAACGGAGATACAACTCCAAACACACCAGGTCTTGAATGGCCAAAAAGCACATCTGTGCACGCTACTCAAAACTGAATTCGAGATGGCCTCAAAGATTGGCTCATCAGATTGTTAATTGGTGCTCATCAGAACACAAATGATGCATTTCTGGAACCATTATGTTTGCATCACTTCCTCTTTGTGCACGATCACGCATTGTGAACTTTGGCGTAATCTGCAAAGCTGAGAGCTTGCTCTTGTCAGCTTGAATAAGGTGGCTTTAACACATCAAGTCGTAATGCCAAATTTATTGCAATGCACTAATTGAATGTGTGGGATCTGCTCTTCTAGGGTATCAGCCACACCTCTGTGATCCCATGACAAAAGCACATCTAACTTTACAAGACTTCACATCATTTCACTTTTAATTAAATTAGGCTGCCAAACCAGCAACTTTGCTGCTTGAACATACTGAATACAAGGCAATTTAGCTCTTTAATACTTAACACTCCAGCATTATGAGAAAACACAAGGTCTGAACATGTTACGTACTCGTGGTTATCCAATTCTGAAGCACAAACCCTTACACAGAACTTAGAAGTGGTGCTGTTAAGATGGAGATGATCGAAAGATCTCTTGGATCAAAGGAGATTGAGCACAAAGCATCGAGGACTAGTTCACCTTCTGGAGTTGTGGGCTCTTCAGCCATAAGTGGTTTTGTGCTGGGCTGTCTCCATTCTGCATTTACACACACACAAATAAACATCACACAGAACTCCAGAATCAGTGCTTAAGGAACCAGGACAGATGTTAAAGTATGCTGGGACAACAGACAAAAAATGTAACAAAATTTAGAGAGAACTGAGTTGCCATATGCAGGCATACTATGTACTGTTATGACATTTTCCAATCTGATTAAACTACATTTATATTTTTTAGATGAATTAAAAATAGTTTAAATGATAATAAGAAAAATTATATCAATAATAATAAAAACAATTTATA